CATCTACTCCAAGTATGAAGACAAAATAAAGGACCTACAATTTCGCGCCCCAGGCCATTCAAAAAAAAAAAAAAACGAGCACCTTGCAATTTGGATCGCGCATAACAAAAAAAACAAGGTAGACTGGGCGCGTGGAAAGCACGTGCGCGTGGGGCGCCGCGCATTGTGTCAGTCGCACGCCTCGATTCTCGCGCGAGATAATAATTGAAAAAAAAATAAAAAAGAAAAAAGAAAAAATAAAAAAGAGAGATAAGGGCGCGTGCGCCGCAAGCGCACATGACATCACGCGTTTCTCAAGCCCCTGTTGCACCAATTATCTCTCCTTGCCTCGGGCTCCATGCACAGCTCCTCCTCACAGAATAATCGCGCGGCTCCCCTCTCACATTGCAGTCGCGCGGCTCCATTAACCGGCTCGCAAGCCTCCTCCCCTCCATCCAATCGCGCGGCTTCCAAGGCACTCAAATCGCGCGTCAGCTCATTTCCAATCGCGCGCAACTCCCAATTCACCTCGTTAAATTGCGCATGGATTTTAACGCGCTCCACTAAATTGCGCGTGGATTCCAACGCGCTACACCAAATCGCGCGTGGATTCCATCTCGCCACACCAAATCGCACGCGCACTCTAACGGATAAATAAAAATATTATTTCTCCACACCATGCCAATGATTAACGGAACACTACAACACCGATCTACTCTGGACAAAATCCGGTATCCTTTCCGACTTGGCTCCCACATTGACTCGAGAGTGGGGGGCTAATGATATGCCTAATTGGGCCAGCCCAATAAGGCTACAATTTATCTACTTACTGGGCTACGAGCCCTATTTAGAAGAACACTATTACAAAAGCCCAATCACCTTCAAATAAGGTTTGAGCCCAACAAATTAACCTGTGCCCAACCGACAAGGTATAAATAACGATTTAATTTATTTATTAAAGGTACGCCCTTGTTATCTAGCCAATTCTACAATTCATATGCTCTCAATTACTTGTACTATCCCTGCGTCTGACTTGAGCGTCGGAGGGGTTTCCGCCGGATCAACCCACGGCCTAGTTCACGTGTTCTCTGTTCGCAGGTGTCTCAGGACCATCTCGCACGCGAGCAGTGATCCAATTTGCTCTCCCATCTCCCTCTATCTCAACTACTTAAGGTGATCTATTTCTAGCATCATCAAACACCATTGTAATAATAAAATTATAAATCATGCACCAATTATTATCTATTTAATAGTTAAATCGGATATTACAACATGAGTTTCACATGTCATATATGAGATGACTAACTCAAGATACTTGAATAACTATGTCCTACTCTAGCCATTGTTTTTTAAAGCAATTTTATAATTCATATCTTTCATTTAGTGGTATTAGGGGTGAACATCGGACGGAAAGGATCGAAAATTATTTTTTTCGGAAAATTTTCAACTTTATTCGGGATTCATAAATCCATTCTGATTTCGGAATAGCTCGGAATACGCGGAATTTCTGAAAATTTAGAAATTGCATTATTTCAAAAGAAAAATATTCCAAACTCAGAAATAATTGGAATTTTTAGAAAAAATTTCTAATCTTTTTGTAATTTTCCGGCAAGAATGAAGAAATCCAAAAAAAAAAGTTAAAAAAAAATGCAATGTAAACCAAAACAACATAAATCGTTCAACAAAACCAACATGGTTCTTGCAAAATATTAATAGAAAAATATTTAAAAAAAGCCACCATAACAAATAAAAAAATAGTTATCGCAATGTTCCTATGGTCTCAGAAATGTAAATTATCATAATTAGATATTTATATTTTCCATATAATATATATCATAATTATATTATAGAAATATAAAATAGATCATAAAATAATATATATATATATATATATATATATATATATATATATATATATATATATATATATATATATATATATATATATATATATAATAATAGTAATAATAATAATATATGTTTCGGAACTAAAACCAGATCGGATATCGAATTGTGGAAATCGGAATTAAAAAGAAGGTTCCAAATTCAGATATTTTTTGATCGAAATCGGTGGAATACGGAAATTCCTGTCCAATTTCCACCCCTCGGCAATATGGATTTCGATCTTGAAAATATTTACTTCACTTTATTTTATATATTATTAGATAATATAATATTTTTCATCATTGAACCTTCCTACACTAGAATCTCAATTATTTTAGCATTCCTAAACTAAATAAAATCTCTTTAAGAAAATTATATTGTAAATTTAAAGATATATTATTCTGACACTTGTCACAAATAGAAACTATATCCCTAATGAAAATTGAAAAAAAAAATTATAAATAAAAAAAGGTAAGATTAAATTAATATTCAAATTTCAAGTGTTGATATTTTGACCATGGAGACAATAACATAATTAACACGAGAAAAAAAACTTAATAGTTTCAAAAAATATTTATGTAGAGAAACTCAATAAAATGAAAATTGTTTCAACTATCACAATAAAATTTATGTAGAGAAACTCAATAAAAATTTTTCTCCCCATTTACACCCCTAGGGGCAAGGCCCCTCGAAAGCACACCTCGGTTACGTGCGTGTATGTGCACATATTTAAGAAAATTGTCTATAAATGCATTAGATTATAAAGCATTAAATTTGACCTTATCTTATTTCTAATGCCCATGCCATTCTTATCTGGAATACAAAAAATCTTATCGTTCCATTTAGTGAAAGGAGATTTTTTCTGCCTATATATATTGGTTTTCTACATTGTTCCTCTGTTTATTTTGATGTTTATTCAATGAGTGTGAATTAGAATAGGTTAAGAGAGTAAGCAATCACCCGTTCTTTGTGAGCACTTGGCTAGAAAATTCCAACCAGAGACTTGTCCTGGAAAGATCTGGTAACTAATTAGGCCGTAGATCTGCTTTTGGTAAATTCTATTTTATTTTTTCTAATTCTCATTCTTTTTCAATTGGACGCATTTTTTATTATTTTTTGGGAATGTATTTCTTAAAAAAAAATTGTTCATCTTGCATATGTTTAAATTTTACATATATAGCTTGGCATATGTTTAAATGCTTTATCTTGCATAAGTTATCGTGGTTTTAATTTCAGTTATATTCATTTTACAGCCTATCGCTCAGGCTCGTTCGAAGGGATTCGGTAAACACTCCAAGAGCAAAGGAAAATCCAAATCAAATGGCACAACCAGTAAAAAAAAAAGAAAAGGAAGGCGTCAAGTATTGAATTCTAAGCTTGCTTTGGCACAATGCCACAATCGAGCAACAATACGGGTGGACCGAATAATATCAAGGACAAAAATCCTCAGTCAAATATAAGCAACGAATTAAGTTCAGATATTCTAAAGCCATAGATTCGTTGCTCATATCCGCACATTGGACGCTTTGACGGTGCGTGCTCGATTTTGAACGGTGCGTGCTGGATTTCGCAACCAAACCGACCGATTCTTTTGTGGGGTTGATTTCAATGGATAATGATGCGGATATGAAGGGCTCTTCAGCTAGGATATACGAAGTTGGTGAGAGAAATAATCCAATTGATGGTGATTATGACCTACAGTTTAATCCGAATCCGAAACCGAATAGGAATCGGGAATAGTGATGGGGAATATGATCGGTACATGATTGATCTGGGTGAAGAAGAATCAAATGGGAATGATTTTGATGAGAATGTGAATGATGATAGAAGAATATGATGGTGATGGTGATAAGAGTGAGAGTGATTTGTCGCTAAATATATATATATAAGTGAAGATGAAATTACTGTGAAGTACTAGAAAGTTGTGAACAAAATATCTACCAAGGACCTGTTTGGTTGGGGAGATTAGCCAAAATTAACGAAATAGTAAAGTTTAGTTTTATGTTTGGTTAGCCCTATTATTTCCGGGTCGATCCGCCAAAATAATTTTATCATCGCATATCTTAGCTAATTGGGAGATAACTACTGACTTGGAATTTGAACATTAATTAATCTTATCCATTATGCTTTTTATTTATCTCTTTTCAATTTTCTTTAGAGATACATCTTCTTTTGTAACAGGTCAGAATAATATATCTTTAAATTTACAACAATAATTTTCTTAAAGAAATTATATTTAGTTAAGGAATGTTAAAATAGTTGAGATTCTAATGTAGGAAGTTCATTGATGAAAAATATTAAATAATCTAAAAGTACATATAATAAAAAAAAATGTTGAGATTGGGGGTAATCGAACAACGGGGCATTTTTTTTTTTACAATATTTCGGATTTTTTTTTTTGAGAATTGGGGTGATTTTGTAATTAATTACATAAATAGAATAAAGCGTCAGTTTGAATGACGCTCTTTAAGAGCCGTCGGATTGAGCTAGGATCAACGGCCAGCTCTCTTATTTTGTCCTCTTAATCTGACGGTCCGAGATTAATCTGGGCGATCGGACGGCCCTTAAAAGGCGTCATTCAAAACGACGCCCTTTGACCCGCCACACTGGATTACAGCGTCATTCAAAACGTACGCCTTTTAGCAGCCGTTAGATTGTGTTTATATCAACGGCTGGATTTGAGCTGAGGTTTTTTAACTTTACTTAATTCTTTTTTATTGTTAAATTGTAATACTTAATTGAATTTTAATTTTAAATTAATTATATGTTGTATTTTAAAAATTTTCCTTGATTTATTTATGCAATTTATTTTATAATTCACTATAAAATAATACAAAGTTAATTAATTATAACCTAACAAAAATTAAGAAATAAAGAACTCTTTTTTCAATTATATTACTTTTTTGTGAAATGAACAGTTTTTTGCATAAATTATAAATAAAGAACTATTTTGTCAATTATATATATATATATATATATTTTTTAATTTATATTTTATTTAATAAAAATAAAATGTCTAATTATTGGGAAATATTTTTTGTCTCTAAATCCTTTAGTTTATTTAATTTGTTTTTTATTGAATAACTAAAATACTAAAAAGTTTTAATAAATAACCAACATAAACTACAATAATAATATCACCAATGACGGTGACCTCCGGTGCCACATCTCGGGGGCCTTCTAGTCTTGTGCCCTCTACCAACTTGTTCATCCTCATCATTTTCATTATCACTCGAAGAATTTGCGGATTGAGAATAAGGAATAGGTGTCATCTGATGATCTACCGGTCGCGATGTAGACGAAAACTGATGCGTAGACCCCAAATGAACTGGGTCTTCCGAATTCATATTCGGATTAAAGTAGGGGTATGGGGTGTACGGATCTGCATCAACGAGATTATAATTACACTCACAGTTGTAGATAGTATTAAAAATAAAATCAAAGGTACTAAACATACCGGATGGATGCCCGTGTGATCTAGGGTCTGTATAATTATCGAATGCCGGATAATATGCACGAGAAGAAGTTCCTGCCTCGCCAGCGTACATCTGAGTCTGTGACTGAGGCATTTGAGACAGTGGTATCTGAGTCTGAGTCTGAGGGTGAGTTTGAGTATAAGGCATCTCAGATTGAGGCCTATCTGAAGGTCCGTGTCGAGACTCTAAGACATTAAGACATGTTCTGAGAGTCGGTAAATACGAACGATAGCCATCCCGGGGCGTGTCTCCGCCATCAACAGAAACAATCAACGATCGAAGATGCTGAATCTGAAATAAGTAATAAGAAATATTTTATTTTTCAGAAGACATACATTAATAAAAACTATACAATACACAAAATTTTATAATAAATAAATTTGAATACGTACCACTGTATCCATTGAAATCTGACCTCCAACTTGAAATCCTGTACGATCAGATGGGGTAATCGGTGATATGAAACGACGTGTGTGCAGTTCATACCACTCAAAATAACCATCTTCTGTAGTCTGACTGTCACTGGCATATGGATAATCAATAATATAATTGAGTCTATTATCCCAAGCGGTAACATGCGAAACATGTGTAAGACTCCAATCTCGGTTGGTAGCACCTGTACGGTTAGCATTGACGTGCATCCGGAAATCTGTCTCAGTATTTTCAGGAGGTTCAGGTATGGGTTGTACCATCCCGAGTTGACGTACTACTCTGTCTGGTCGATGCATCTCCACAATTGCGTAGCATATCAGGAGGACTCTCGATACCCATATACCACAACATGCGATCGCCGAATCACCAGCTACAGCCTGATACTCCGGATCATCCAGATCATATGGCGTCCATATAAACTGATCTGGGAGCATCTGATCCAACATCATCCTAAAAATACGAAGAACATGTGCACCAGTCTCATTGAAGCTGACATGATTGGTCCACCTGTGATATATTATTATATATTAAACTAAAGATAATAATAAAGATAAGGTTAAATACAAAAATACCCCACTACTATGAACTTTGTATCATATACCCCATGTACCTTTTCCCCAAATATGACTATAATACCCGTACTCAAGCATCTTTATAAGAATATTACAAACATCTTTAAAATCATATTGTTGTTGAGAATTTGAACTACCGGAAGACATTTAAGAAAAAAATAAATAAATTCAAACTGACAAAAATAAAAGGTTTTATTTAGAAAATTTAAAAAAAAAATCTAAGTAATTAAATGTTTTGAAGAAAAAAAGAAAAATATAAAATTTTTTCAAGTAAAATTGACTGAAAATGTTAGAAAAATATAGTGGAAGGTGGCTCAGACAAACCCTTATATTTATAGACACAAAAAATTAATACACAAATCACCATAACAATAATGCAAAAATAATTTAACATAAATCTCAAAACCATTACCGTGCACCGTAAGGTGGTACGGGAAACTCATATCCTGCATACTCAAGTGTTGTGCCCCATTTTGCCAGAGTAGGTATGGGCCTTGATGGAGGAATCCGCATCCATGCCCATATCTGTTAAATAATACAAGAATATAATTTTTTTATAATATAAACTGCAAATTAAATGTATTAATGTACTAAATTATATAAGTAATTCATATGTTACCTGTAATAATTGAACAGGGCCACTGATTTCTTTTGCAGATATCTTCGATGCTTTGCACAACTCGTGGTAGAGGACTGCTAGAGTACAACTACCCCAACTATATGTACGGACAGCATCAAGATCCTCTAAATGTCTCAAATACATCAACGGAATAGAGTCGCCAGTGTGATCGGGACACATAATCCCCCCTACTATGAGAAAAGCAATCCCTCGAGTAAAATGAATAAGGTGCGCAGATGTACTATTATCAAGAACGGGATTATTGATTAAATATTCACTAAGGGCTTTGACACTCAACTTCGATCATTTCAACAATAGCATACGCAAGTGGTAAAACTTGTTGATTCGCATCCAAACACACAGCAAGCAACATCTTATGTTTGTACTTAGTGTACAAATGAGTTCCATCGACGCTGATCACCCGACGACAGTATTTGAAACCATCAATACACGGCTTGAAGGCCCATAAGACGTATTTGATTATGAATTTCGATGGATGATTTGTCGCGTGATGTTCCCACTCAACAGTTGTGCCTGGATTCCTTTGTTGCAGTGCTTTCATAAATTTTGGCAACTTCTGGACCAAACTCTCCCATGTTCCATATACATTTTCTCTGCATCGCTTCAAAGTGTACCATGCCTTCATGTAGGATATCTCATATCCTATTTGCGCGGTCACAATCTCTCTTGCCTTTGAAATCTCACAAACTGGATTTTCACGAACACTTTTCAATAGAATTGCGGCGCAATAATTGATGTTCAAGTTGCCATGACTGTTTGTCATCCCTTGCATACCGCAACTATGATCGCCATCGTAGATCCCAATTCTAAATTGTTCTCTATCCCCAATTCATGATGCTCTTAGCCTCCATCTGCAAGGTCTTGCTTCAGTGTCGTGTTTGCAGATAACCTTCCAACTTCTTATTGTACTTTCGATAACTTTAAACTCTCTTCTGGCAAATCGAATGGAGTGGTCTCTAACGGCTGAAATGACCCTTGCTTTACTATCAAAAATCATCCCCTTTTCGAGAGTACCTTTGTTGATATCATAAAATTTTGACCACATACCCGACGGAACATCAATGGAATCGGCTGGGATTTCAGGAAATGACAGAGAGTAGAACGAAGGTGGATCATAAAACTGAGTAGGAGGTTGTGCAAATGATGGATTGTTGACATGAACATGGGAAGTTGATGGAATTGCTGCCTGCGATATTGTTTGTACAACGTCATCAACGACTTCGATATTCTCATCATTGTTCTCTTCACCACTATCATCATCGTCTCCATGGTCGAAGGGTTCAGAGTCGCTTCGAACATTTGGCCCATGTGCGTCTCCGAAAGGATCATCGTCATCATTATTATCACAATGACGAGTTTTATTGGGAAGATCAAAATTTTCATGAGCATTCCTCATGCCACTTGATTCCCCAATATGTACCCCAAGATTTTGATAAGAATGCCTCGATGGCCCCGCTTCAAAGCCCATATTAGAAAACCCTTGTGTAACCGCAACTAACTCATGACTTGTTTGCATAAATGAATTGTACGCTTCATTCAAATCAAAATGTTGTGACGGTCTCGAAGGGGAGTAGAGAGGTTCTGATGTAGTGAATTGTGAAGGTCTCGAAGGGGAATATAGAGGTTCTGATGTACTGAATTCTGAAGGTCTCGGAGGGGAGTAGAGAGGCTCTGATGTAGTGAATTGTGAAGGCATCAAAGGATTGTATAAAGGCTGAGACTCAACATAAACATCTATGGAATCGTTTCCTTCATCCGGGTGCAAATAGATTTCTAAATCATCATCATTTGTTATCTCAGAAACTATCTCGCTCCACTGATTTTGATACCATCGTGATATTTTGCCCGACACCGATAACACAAATTCATTTTTATCTATTCGGCAACGTGAGTATATTTTCGCCAAGAAGTCTGAGAAAGATATATCGTGTTTCACTCGTACGACTGTATGATGAGATTGATCATAATTCACTGACAATCCCTCATGAACAATCTGGCCTCCTATATACACGAAAACTTTGGCAGTATTCCTACCCGGAGTCGCCATTGAAACCCTATATTTTGATATTTTGAGATTATTATTTTTATTTCGAAATATTTAATATTTTCTAATTTTTTTATAGCTACAAACACTAAATGTTAGATTATAAATCAGTTAAAACAAACAATTAATATTTAATATTTTCTAATTCGTTTTATAATTTGAGAGTTCGAAAACTATTAATTTGTATATTATAAATCCTTAAAAAATTGTGTAATTCGTAATTTTTCGACACATTCATATAACACTTTAATTGTGTAATTCAAGTAAGACTTTAATTAACCAATAAAATATTTAATTTACCTCAAAGATAATTGAAGATTTGCTAGCATCCACAATCACTTCTCAATCCACCACAAGTTAGACTTCCACCTAGTTATAATAATTAAAAAAACCATCAAAATAAAAATTTCAGCAATTATTTAAAAAACAGGAAAAAAATAACAGCTCCAACCCCAAGTTGTACTATATTTGTACAATATAATAAATAATTACCTTCAAATTATTATTATTTGCTAACTACAAAAATCCCTTCTCAAACCACCACAAATTACACTTCCACCTAGTTATAACAATAAAACAAAAAAAATTAAATTTTCAACAAAAAATAAAATAAAATTTGTACAATATAACAAATAAATACCTCCAAATAATTATTATTTGCTAGCAACGTAAATCCCTTCTCAATCAACCACAAATTACATTTCACCTAATTATAACAATCAGAACACAACAAAATTTAAATTTCAGCCATTATTTAAAAACAAGAAAAAAAAACATGAAAAGATGTTAAATTATTAAAACATGGGATCAAAAGTGAAACTAATGTAAACTTGAGGGGCTAATGCCATAACTAATTCTACCAATTTATCCACTAACTCACTATTAATTAATTAATTTATCCTACTAATTATTCTACTCGTATCATATTTAAACCATTAAAAAAATTTAAAATTTCAGAAATTATTTAAACACAATCAAACATTCCTTCTTAAATCCACCACAAGTTCAAGTTTAACCTAAAAGTAACAAGTAAAAACAACAATAAAAAATTGAATTTCATAAAAAATTATATATATTTTAACAATACAAGAAATAATTTATCTCCAAATAATTAATAAGTTACTAGATAAAAATACCATTAATCCACCATTAATAAAAATTTAACAAAATTATATTAATAATTAAAATCCTATTTAACTATAATAATTGAAAGAGTGAAAAAAATTACCTCAATAAGTACCCTGCTGAAATTAATTAAAATTACCTACATTAATTAAAATATAAATTAGCAAACTAGAAATAAACAATAATTAACAAAAAAAAAGAAGAGTGAAAAAAACAACTTACGGCTTGTTGGGAAGAAGGGAGAAGAGGGAGAAAAGGGTGCAAATGAGGTGAATTCCAATTTTTTTCGGATTAAATATATATATATATATATATATATATATATATATATATATATATATATATATTCGGCCGAAATCACGGCCGTTGGATCGAGAAGGAACAGACGGTCCTTAAAACGCGTTATTTAAACTGACGCGTTCAACCCTGACAGGTCAAAGCGCGTCGTTCAAAACGACGCCTTTTAAGAACCGTCAGATCTTCTCTTTAATTCGTGACCGTCAGATAATGAGGACAAAATTGGAGATCTGGCCGTTGATCTTATCTCAATCCAACGGTCCGCAAAGCGCGTCATTTTAAATGACGCTTTATCCCATTTCTGAAATTAATTACAAAATCACCCCAATTCTCAAAAAAAAAAAATCCGAAATATTGTAAAAAAAAAAAAATGGCCCAATCGAACAACACCACGTTTTTTGGGACCACGTGGTCCCCAAACAAAAATGTATTTCTTGTTTTTACTTTTGTTTAATTTGAGTTACCATGGGGTGGACTTAGCATAATGGGCCAAAACCTCTGAGTCAAGCACGGTGGTTCTAGGTTATTTGGGCCCCAGTTGGAACAAAATTAAAATGGAGCCCTTTAATTATATAAAAAGAGAATATTTGAATTTTATTTTTTGTACTTTAATAGATGAAAATGTATTAATTAAATCATTATATTTTAGTTCTTCTATCAAATTATTTTCTACATAAAATAATCAATTTATTTAATCTTTCTTATGACATAGTAGAAAGTAAATATATTTTTATTAATTTTAATTTGAAAAAGTTTTTCCGCCGAAGAACGGGTATATGTATAATAAATATTATTTTATAACAAATAAACATATTTGGATAATAATCAATTACTTTTTTTATGATTAAGTATGAAATGGGTTTTTTCTGTTTCAATAGGTATGACTTTTCTTAACAATTTTAGTTCATAATATAAATCAAAACCATTAATATGGGATAACTATGTGATCGTTCTAAAGCTATAAAGTCCATTCGCGTTTGACTTAGAGAAACTCCTTTCTCTAATCACTTTCTACTTCCGCCGAAGATTCCTTGGACAATATACTTGAAGAATACATAGGACATCCATGCAATTAAGCAAACGGTCAAATCCCTAACTACAATGCACAAACTCCCACTAGATTTTGGACTGTGCGAACGTTGGCCCTTGAAGCGGTCTTCGAGGAGATTCAGGGACAGATCACAACACAGCTGGTCCTCTAATGAAGTCGCAGTGATGTATTAGGTCTAAGAACTAATGGTGTACAACTATAATAATAGAATCTCTACTCGATTAATGGGAACCACTAAATGATCACGGACATCTTTCAAGCACGGGGTATTAATTATTTATATAGTAGAAATAATCATTTATATAGAAATTAATATTTAATCCTTTATATAGATTATTTATAAATGTCAGTTTAAATTACATATTAAATATATTAGAAATTAATATTTAATTATATTATCAAACTGACATTAAAATTATTTAAAATAATATAAGGGTATAAGCAAGCATTAAGACGTGAAACTAACGATAATCGTTGTTAATAGGATAAATTATGAAAATCCTCATGAACTTATGCTAAATTACGGAAATCACCCCCACTTATCGGTAATTACCGAAATCCCCCAGATGTTTATTTATGTCTTACACGACCCCCTTATGGTGTGATTTTTTACGAAATCTTTTTTATTCCATGTAATATCCCAAAAATTGTGGATTCTACCCATGCAGACATGACATTTCTTTTATCTTACTTTTCAAATACAAAAATTACCCTTAGGGGAGGTAATAGTAATACTAAAAAGTTGTGAAAATGTTATTTAAGAAGAATAAATATTTCGTGTAAAGTCCCCCTAAGGGTAATTTTAATGTCATGTGCAGGGTAGAATCTGCATTTTTCGGGGAATATCCCACGTAATAAAAAAATTCCGTGAAAAATCATACCGTAAGGGGGTCGATGTAAAACGAAAAGAAACATCGGGAAATTTTGGTAATTACAAATATAATATTAAATAAGTGAAAAAGATAAACATATTCTCTGGTCGTGTTCACGTAAAATGTATAATATCAAACGATTTATTCAGCAATATTTTTTTATATAAATCCAAGTTAATGAATTAAGATACAAAATTTTCGTAACACCATCAATCATACAATTATAATAAATGAAGATTTTAAATTAAATTTAAATTAAATTAATTACTATTAAAATTAAATTAAAAAAATAAAATTAATTAAAGTTTTCAAGAAAGTTGATATATTTAGAGCATTTTATAAATGGTATGATATAAATATATAATAAAATAATTAAATATCTTTTTAATTTTGGAAGATGGTGACATGTTTTTTGATGATTTATTTTCACCAATCAATTTGCCACATGGGATGAAATTGAATACATGTCACCAAATGAAATTGACAAATGTCAATCAATTAGGTGTGGAATTCAACGATTACCCCCCAATTTCTTTAGTTTTTGTTCGATTTCCGCTTGCAGGTTGGGTTGCGTTTGGTGTTGAGATTCAATTCCTCTGGTTTACAATTTGCAATGTATGTTTTAACTTACATTTTACAAACACTTATTTAATATTTTTGTTGTTTGCAATGTGTTCCATAAAGAATTTTTTTGTTGATGTTTTTTAATGATGCTGATTTTTTTTTTTCAGTTTGCTGTTTGCATTTGGCCAAGTTATAGGTAGTTTGTTGTTTCCAATTCTCTAATGAAAATTCTGCTGATTTTTTTCTTGAGTTTGCTATTTGCATTTAGCGAAATCATATTTAGTTTGTTATTAGCAATTCAATAATGCAAATTATAATTTTCAGTTTGCTGTTTGGCTGAAGTTTATTTAATATCTTATAAGCTCCTAAATCCGATAAGATATTTTAGGAACGAACAAGTTGTTAGATCTTATATTGAAAACTATTTTGTAAGGTAATATGGAGCTTGTTTATAAGTTACTTTTAGATTTTATTAGTTGTTTGTGGGTTTAAAAATAGGGGTTTTTGTGCATAAGTCCCCAACCAAACATCTTTATTATTCTAGGTTTAGGGGCTATATCTCTTTCACCAATAAGCCCATCCATTTAATATTTATTATAAATAAAGGAAACATTCATGTATATGCCAATATTACCCTCAACCATTTATACCCAATTCTTAATTGTAACCCCAATTTAATCAATTTTGTCAACAAAAATCCTATTTCGACCACAAAAATTCAATTTTGCCTTTTTTTAGAGCATACTTTAATATGCTCCTATTTCATCATTAACTTAATTTAATCTCAATTTGACCCCAAATTTCACAAATTATTCAATTTTGACCCAAAACTTTTTTTTTCAAAAAAAAAATAATTTTGCCACCGGATTCCGGCGTTGACTTTTATTTTTGTTTTCTTTTTTCTTTTCTTTTCTTCCGGATTTTTTCGCCAGTTTCCGGCGTTGACTTTTTTTAGTGTTCTTTTAGGTTTTTTTTTTTTTTGTTTTTTTTTACGTCCGCCGCTAAACGTTGACCGTAATTGTGCTGTCACTGACAGTAAATTAACTTAATTATACTTTCAATGACAGTTAATTAACGTAATTGTACTGCCGTTGACAATACATTTATGTAATTGTTCTGCCGTTGGCAGTAAATTAACGTAATATTATTATTTTTTATTTTTTGTTATTTTTTATTTTTATGTTTTTTGATTTGTTGACAAGTCAACGTAATTATATTACTGTCTTTGACAGTAAAATAACTGTAAACACAATAATATTACTGTCAACAACATCAATATTTTTTTTTTTTTTGAGTTTTTTGTTTTGTTTGAGTTATTCACGGAGTAATGTAATAATATTACTGTCTATTATTGTAATATTACTGTAAACACAATAATATTACTGTGGTTGACAGTAATATTACTGTTGTTATAGTAATATTGTTGTCAACCACATCAATATTATTATTTTGTTTGGATTTTTTTGTTTGTTTGAGTTATTCATGGAGTAACGTTATAATATTACTGTCTATTATTGTAATATTACTTGTCTATTATTGTAATATTACTGTGGTTGACGGTAATATTACTG